AATGTATTTAAAAGTTGTTAATTAAATTGCTAAGCAAATAAGCTACTCAGAAACACCACTGTGTTTGAGCAGGAACAGGAAGTGATACTCTACCGCAGAGCGAGCGAACACCAAGTGACAGCGCCACACACATACTGCCCACTTTGATCTTTAGTGGCCTGAACCAGTGAAACTCCTCTTTCTGTCAGTGTAAAGAAGTTACATTTGAACTGTTTTTCTGCATAATAAAAAAAAAAGTTGCTGTGACAAAGAAGAAATCTGTCAGCAAGACTTTGAACTTCAATAAATTAAATAAATCTGTAAAATTACAGAAAAGTTTCTGGTAGCTCATTGCCCAGACTGCCCTTTTCTTAACTGTAGTCATAAAAAAAAGGAAATTTCTATAATAGTAAGTGAAACCTTTCTGCCATTTCATTGTTAATGGCTTAGTTACTTAGTGTTTTATGAACGGCCATAAGGGAGGTTTTTATCATTAGGAAAAGCTGTAAAACTTGTAAAAATACAGTCAAAAGTCCAAAGTTTCTGTTGGTGCTTATTTGTGGTGAGCAGCAGATCAAACAAGTTAACAATTATAAACGGCTTCAAACACACATTTAGACTCATTTAGACACTCAGACAATGAGCCATGGCTCAGTCTGAAACCTGAAGCCTTTTGTCCTCCACGGTGGAAAATGGCTGAAGATAAAAATGGGTATCACTTTAGCCAGCTCCTAATTTTATAAATTCTGCACTTAGGTTTGCAGTCTCCAACGTCATTGAAATTCAGCCAGATGCTGCTCATTTTACATTTTTCCTCGTTTCTTTACTTTTTCCCAACACGCTTGCATTTAAATCTGACTCCCCCATCTCTCTGTGTAGCTGTCTTCAAAATGTCTGTCCCCCTGTCTTTTACATAATGGTATGATCCCATCTATATTTGTATTGGCCACATGGTGTGCCCATCAAAATAAAGTCCGGCTCCTGTCTGCATGAATATGGCTCCCAAATACCAATAAAAATCATATTTTGCATGTGTTGTGGAAGTTTTTCCATTTAAATAAAGCCTGCAGACGAGCGGTGAGCGGTAGCTAACATTCTTTAATCAAAGCACACAAAGAACATACAAACAAGCTTGATGAAGTTCCTGCATGACCGCGGGACAGACGGTCAGCAGTCTCCCTGAGCCTAGCATGGCTCTCAGTTAAATACCTTCTCCAGGAACAAAAGGCAGTACACAGCTGTTTCACACCTTAAGGTTCACACTCCCTTGCTGCTTCCCAGAGTCCTCGAAGAGACAAAAGACTGGTCCTCTGGAGTTCCTGTTTCCCCCAACATCCTTACTACACCCCCACCATTTGTCTTAAGTATGAGTGTCAGACATGTTAAAATCCAGTGGCACCAAGGCATTACAATAACATGATTAATACATAAGTGAAAGAAATTCCTATACAATTGGTTGGTTACAAGTATAGCGCTTCAATATGCAACAAGAAGAAATGGGAGTGAGACAAAATATTTTCTGAGCATGCAATTTCTTGAAAACAACATTTATACTTAAACTACAGCTTTTTGTTTATGATTTGTTGTTCAGTTATTAACTCATGTGCTGTAACAGTCTACGCTACCTTCGACTGCACCGGCTACAGGGCCTGTCTAGCTACAGATATTTCAAGGGCACGCAGCTGGGTCTCCAATTCAGTGATCCTGGCCTCCAGAGCTGCCATCTTGTCTCAGAGTGATGCTAAAAAAATATTTTGTGCATTTATTATGTCTAAGCTGGAAGATTGTAATTCATTATCAGCATGTCCTAGTAACTCCCTGAAAAAAGTCTTCAATTTAACCAAACTGCTTCAGCGAGAGTACTGACAGGGACTAGAAGGAGGAAGCATGTATTATTTCCATATTAACTTTACAAGGTATTGAATAATCAAACCCCTTCTTATCTTAAAGGCCTCACAGTACCATATCGCCCTAATAGAGCACTTGGTTTTTAGACAGCTGGTTTACTGGTTGTTCCTAGGATATTTAAAAGTGTAATGGGAGGCAGATCCTCCGGCTTTCAAGCCCCACTTCTGTGGAATCAGTTCCTAATTTGGATTCGTGAGACAGACACCCTCTCTACTTTAAGATTAGGATTAAAAACTTTCCTTTTTCAGGCGGCCCTGAGCCAGCACTTAGTTATGCTGGGATAGGCCTAATATACTGGGGGCTTCCCACAACTTGTCCACAAAGATGGACTGTTGTTGTGATTGGGAATTATATAAATAAAATTGAATTAAACTGAATTTAATTGATGTCTGACTATTTTCTATAGAATATTTAATCAATTTCTTCTTCTAATGACCCACATTCCATTAACCAAGACTTTTCATACCTATAGTGGTGCTAAGGCATCAAATTGTTTGATTGGAAACACTGGCTTTGGTGCATGCTTCATCTTATAAGTAACAAATAGTATTTAGGCACCTGACATTTATGAAAGGATTGTGTGTGTGTGTGTGTGTGTGTGTGTGTGTGTGTGTATGACTGTGTGTGTGTGTGTCTGTGCGCAGACCTGCTCCCAGCTTCAGGCGGTGAGGAGATGACCAGAGGATTTCTGCAGGAACTGGTCGGCATCTTGTTGGGTTTTATCTGCAAGTCTAATCAGAGGAGCTCTAAGGTACTGTTTCTATTATTACTTTAAACAGTTGTATTTCAAAGTAGCTTTCTCTGTACGTGATTCAGAATACAGTACCCCTATTCACAAGTGCTTGCCAGATCAGGCACATGATTAATTTGCCAAACATTTTTTTGTTTCTTTTGTCAAATACTCTTCCTGGTGCAACCCTAAAGGGATTGTGTCTTCTCCTGGAATACAACTCGTGATCTTTCCCTTGATAGACTAATATGTAAACTAGGGCCGAACAGTTTTAGAAATGATCTAATTATGATTTCAATTCAATTCATGATATTCTTCAAATTAAGCTTCAGCACAAAATTCACAATGTACAGTAAGATTTACAAACATCACAGAAGATGACATCATACCATCAGAGCATTAAAAGCTATTAATATGATGTAAGGATGAAAACTAAAGGTAAGAAGTGCTTTCAAATGTATTTATTAACAAGAAACATGCATGTGCATTCTTACTCTACATTTTTCAGCTCTGTTACCACTTTTTCTTTACACTCTGCATATAGCTGTGGGATGGCAACCTGGCTGAAGTAGATGCGGGAGGGTATCACATATCTTCTGTCCAACATGCAAAGGAGGTTTTTAAATCTGTATTTAGTGACTGTGTTAACAAACACCATGTCCCTGACAATGTAATATGTTATGGCATTTGTTATGGCCTGATATCTTTTGCTGCTCTCATCAAACAGAGTTCAGCTATCAAAAGATGCAGTAATTATAGACTGTTTGCTACAATGAACCTGAGCGCCACTTTCACTAGACTTTTCAGCAGACTTTTTTGTCATGCACTCCTCATGCAAATGCCTGTGGTGATTTTTCAAGTGTCAGTATAAGTTGGTTATGTTTCCGCTACATGTTGCAACTTTAATGCAACAGGTGTTGCACAGTACCTGTTTCTGGTGCACATCTGCAGCCTCAAACCCACAATACTCCCAAATGACCAACATGCTGGTTTTTGAGAGGCCAAACGGACTGCAACTTAAAAAAAAACACCAGCAATAAGAAAAACGCTGAAAAAGCACACAGAACACAATGGAAATGGGAAAAATTACAACAAAAATAAGAAAAAACTGATTTCCAAAAGCACAAGGGAAGTGTTTCTGGGAGATAATAACCTGATGGACCTGTTCCAGGAACCCAAAACATGATAGGTGTGTTTTATCATGATTCATATAATACTGATGACCAAAATATGCTAAGAATTGCGATGGGAGACACTTAAGAGAAGTGGAGGATCTATCGGTTTTGTGAGGAAAGAAAAGATGAGAGGTAAGTGTGTTAGCCTAACTATTAGCCTAAAAATCTGTCATTAGTATTATATGAATCATTATAAAGCACACCTACCATGTTTTGGGTTCCTGCAACTGGTCCGCCGGGTTATTGTCTCCCAGAAACACTTCCCTTGTGCTTTTGGAAATCTGTTTTTTCCTATTCCTATTTCCGTTGTCGTTTTTCCTATTTCCATTGTGTTCTGTGTGCTTTTGCAGCATTTTTCTTATTGCTGGTGTTTTCTTAAGTTGCAGTCCGTTTGGCCTCTCAGGGCCACCGTAGAAATCTCCTAACTGCGCTTCTGGTTCGGCTGAAGCCATCATCACATGTTCAGATTTCAAAGCGTAAGGGGCCGGCTAGTTTTGATTGGTTAGCGTGACCTGTCCAGTAGCATGCCACTTCTGATTGGTGAGCTTGGCAGGATGGTAGAGGGATGACATGTGTGTGTTAAAAAAAAAAACATAAAAAACTACAGATCCTGGGTCAGTTAGGAGTGCTACAAAAAACGCAGCTTTGGTGATCACGTGATCACTTTGTCTGAAATCGCAATTTTGATCAGAAAACGATAAATCGTTCAGCCTTAGTGTAAACCATTAGTGTCCTAATATTCTTCTTAGTAGTGTAATGCCAGTCTGGAGTCCACTATGACAACTTTCCAGCAGTGTGTTTGACTGTAAAACATGGACTTTCTGTTTTGCACACTCCTGTTGTCACCAAGTCTGTGAGGAGGTGGAGTCAGGAAGCCAGCAAGGCTCCTGACTGGGACACGCTCTGTGATCCAAATGGTGAATATGTTGTCAACAGCATCACAGACTGCATAATTAACCTATATGCATTTCTGTGGGGATCTTCCCAACTAGAACTGTACACTGTTTTCCCAGTAACAAGCACTGGATCAACATTACTTAATTGCCTTTTTCTCACCATTTTTGTAGCAACACAAAAACACACTACAACAAACCTGTAGGAATTAGTAGAACCAGCTTTCAAGGCTTAATCAACCTCCACTACTGCAGAACAGCTTTAAATTGTTGACTCACGTTGTTTACACTGAAAAAGGCCTTTTTGTATAATTCTGAAATGTACATTCTTTTTTGGTTTTGGGTAACCTTACCTTTTTTTTAAACCTCTGGCAGTTCATCACTTACCTTTGTACCATTTCAAGCTATTTATTGGACTTGAACAACTTGAATTGCAATAAATAACTCGAAAAATTGGGGTGTTCTAAAAACCTTTGGCCAGTAGTGTATATACAGTAGTTTTACAGGTTATTCTGTGTTTATAGAATTACTTTAATATCTAAAAAACTAAAATAATAGTCATTAATTTCAAATCACTTTGTCTATTTGTAATATATGTAAAGCACATGTATGCTGTTAATCCTGTTTTTCACTTTTCACTTCTACCTACTGGCAAAAAATGTAATTCTTAATAAAATGATAGAGGAATGAGTCCCCATATTAAAATCCCAGCGAAACTGACATGATTGAAAATGTTTTTATGTATGTGTAGGATTTAAAATGTGTATGATTTTAAAATGTAAAAAATAGTATCTACCATGTAGGTGCTGGACTTCCATCATCCTCATCAGCTAAAGGAGGGACTGGAGGGCTTCAGTCTTGACCTGCCAGTACAACCAGAAACTCTGGAGCAGTTACTAGTGGACTGTAGAGACACCCTCAAATATGGTGTTAGTACAGGTATGGGAAGTACTAAAATATGTTTATCATGTCAGGTCTGAGTTCTTACCTACAGATGTGTGTTTCTTTTGCTACTTAAAAAACAAAGAAGTTCTGTTCCACTCAACAATGGAGGATTTGTCTCTATGCAAATTACGTTACCTGGATCACTTGAGATCACTTGTCCAAGTGCTCCAGCGAATGTAGAACCAAGTCATGGTTCTACATTGTGACTCAAAACCTAACTTCTTTATGCAGTCTACATTTTCCTAATGAACCTTGGCTGCAAATATTTGCTTTCCCCACTGATTAGTACAAAGAACCTTTTCTAAAACATTTGATGGCAGGAAGTGCGTTGGAAAATATATTACTTGTACTTTCTGACCTTGTTCTCTGTCATTTGTGGAAAATGCAAGGAACTATTTGTTTTTCAGTGTCTTATGGAGTAGTTTGTGGCATAGCAGCATTATAAATTAACCACAAGCTAAAAGAAAAAACCTTTATAAAAAAACCTTTCATATTTTCCAACACTGCCCTTACCTTTAATATTTCAGCTGCCATCACTTTATCAGTGTAAACAGAAGGAGTAATAAAATACATAATAATATTCACCACTGATGCTGCTTCTATGGCTAAGGAAAATTTCACCATGAGATTTCCTCTTCCAATCAGCACCGTTATCCTCAGTCCTGTGTATGATAGTGACATCGAGTTTTTAAGATCTCACCAGACTAGACTGAAAATGTTTTTGCTTGATTGAAACTCTCTTTATTAGCGAAGCGTTCCTGGTCCAAGTTCTCCCGTGTTTTTCGTATACAGCAGATAAAGTAATTATTCAGCATGTCACAAGTTTTCTAAGAAAATATATTCCCACTGCCCCGAAATTCTGACCTGATGTGGGTAACGAGCCAGGGGGCCACGGTCGTCAACAACAAAGTCGTCAATCCTAAATTTGAAATCCAGGTTCAATTTTTCTTCTAATGGAGATGATATGTTTTAACTGAAGAGACTTGCAAGGAGACATGAGTGGAGAAGGTCCAGTAAAAGAAAATTGTGTCTGTAACCCTTGGTCCCTAGGTGAATGGCAAACAAGCATATGGGAATCCCGAGGACACCACTACACCACTCTAATCAACCTTATGCATTTTATCTATGCTGTCTAAAAAATTGCCACTGCATTATTCATCGGGAAACTGAATTTACTTTACCCAACCCACTCACCAAGAGCCAAACATTTAAAAGTCAGAGGCACCTTCGTGGGATGCTGGCAAGTCAGCCACTCCAAACCCAATGCACTCAAGCACACATGCACGCACGCGCACACCCAAGCACAGCTGCCGAAATACTGTAAAATGATGCATGCACCAAAGTTACTCTTTTTATGCCAATGTTTCCAAACAATCTGATGCCTTAAGAGCACCACTATAGGTATAAAAAGTATTGGTTAACAGAATGTGGGTTGTTAGAAAGAAATTGATTAAATAGACAATAGTCAGACATAAAATAAATTCAGTTTCATTCAGTTTTATTTATATAGCCCCAAATCACAACAACACTTGCCTCAAGGTGCGTTATACTGTAAGGTGAAGAGCCTAAAAGAATACAGGGAAAACCTCAACAATCATGTGACCCCTCTGAGCAGGTCCTTTGGTGACAGTGGGAAGGAAAAAACCCTTTTAATCGGAACTGCTGGTGGAACAAGGCTTCCCTGTTACAGGGAATAATGAAGGACATTTCTGTTACTGTACATCTTTAATCACATTCTTTGTTGTCTTTATTTTATTGGAGATGTATAAATGCACACAAGAAATGTCAAACCTTAGTAGTAAAGTATTATGTATTATTTTATAACACACACACACACATGCACTCATAAGCATAAAAACACATATATAAACCCCAAACAGAAAAAACCCACACTATAAAACTATATATACACTAATTCTTCTTTACTTATGTTTTTCAGGTCATCCACGTTTTTTCAATCAGCTCTCTTCAGGTTTGGATGTGATTGGTGTGGCTGGCGAGTGGTTGACCTCAACAGCCAACACGAACATGTAAGATCTCAAAAAAGTCACATTATACAAAAGTTATACATTGATTTGCATGTCATTGAGAAAAAATATTGAGGGAAATAAGTATTTGATCTCCAATCAAAACATGACTTAGTACTTGGTGGAGAAACCCTTGTTGGGAAGCACAGTAGAATACATCTCAGAAAATCCTTTAGGCTTCTTGGCTGCCTAATGGACAGATTTTCTATCCGGTCGTTAAGTCTGACGTCACTAGCCGTGTCGGGGCCTAAACTCCGCTGCAGGTCCATATATCAAACGATCACTATGGCATTACTGAGAGTTGACAAACTGTCTAAAGTCTTTCATCTTTAAGAAAATGATCAGCGTTCTGCTCTACCAGGTGTAACAATTGAGTTTAACATCCAGGCATCCATGAAAACGGAATTTATGACATTTAACGAAGTTAGAAGTTAGCAGGAAGTTAGCTCGCTAGCTTCTATCTAAATACAATATAGCATGTCCTGACTGCGGGGTTGTGGAAACAAATTAAAATGTACAGCTCTGTTATCACTTCCAACATAAATGAAGACAGAAAACTAAACAGCAGTGACGTTTGTAGGGTTACTGAAGTTGGCTAGTTGTAGCTAATGATATGCTACGTGACCGCTAGCGACACAGCTATGTTAGCATAATATAAACAAGCTAACTTTTTTCCACTCGATAAAAGTTAACGTGAGAGTTCTCGGTGGTCAGGAACAAATGTAATCGCATGGCAGGATGCTGTAAAAGGACCAAACTTCAGCCAGGAGAACAACTG